AAAGGGAAGACAGAAGTATAAGAAGTGCTGTTTCTGAGTACGTACTGTGTTTCAAGGATGCTTTAATTCCAATCTTGTACATAAAGAAAGTGAGGCTCAAGAAGAGAAGTAATTTAGCCAGGGCTAAACATGGTTACTCAAAGACAAGCTCAAAGTTAAGTGTAACTTCAATCTCTATATTCCTTTCTATCATAGCTCTAGGGTTAAAAGATTAAATTATTTAATCCTCACTAAATGGCATTAAAGTTCTAAGCCTATGAAATATAGTTCAGTGTTCAAAATTTTATTATACCTCACCCTTTAGACATACATGCCACTTTATAAGTTTTATATTTTAAAAGCCATATTTTGATTTGTATCCATGTAATATTTTACGCACATAGTCACTTGCTTAAGTGGCATTTTTTCCACCAAAGACTTTAAAGCAGCTTAAAGGATACATACAAACACTGTACTAACAATTTCATGGCATTATCTTATATTTTCATGGCACTCTAAAATTTTAAAAGTGTTCTCACACAAATTTTAGGATATTTAAGGTATTTATATTTCTTACTTAAAAAGCACAAGGATAAACAGTAAAGTTTACTACAGAACTATATAGCACATGCTAGATAATATCAATGTTTCTGGAAAGACTGTCTCCATTAACTGTTAATACTTTCAACTTCCTATGATAGGCTGAATAATGGTCCTCAAAGATGTACATACACACTTGGATCCTGCAAGTGTTACCTCACATAGCAAAAGAGTCTTTGTGGAAGGAAATAAGGTTGCTAATCAGCTGACTTTAAAATGGGGAAATATCCTGGATTATCCAGGTGGGCCCATGTAATTATAAGAGCTCTCAAAAGTGGAGGCTCGGCGCCTATGGCTCAACCGGCTAAGGCGCCAGCCACATACACCGGAGCTGGCGGTTCGAATCCAGCCCGGACCCGCCAAACAACAATGACGGCTGCAACCAAAAAACAGCCTGGCATTGTGGCAGGCACCTGTAGTCCCAGCTACTTGGGAGGTGGAGGCAGGAGAATCGCTTGAGCCCAGGAGTTGGAGGTTGCTGTGAGCTGTGATGCCACGGTTCTCTACCCAAGGCGACAGCTTGAGGCTCTGTCTCAAAAAAACAAAAAACAAACAAACAAAAAACCCCCCAAAAAACAAAAAAAATTAGTGGAAGAAGTCACAAAGAAATAGGCAAGAGTGAGAGGTGTGCTAGCCACCATTCCACCTTGAAAATGAAGGAAAGGAGTCATGAACCAAGGAATGGAGGTGGCCTTCTAGAGCTTAAAAACAATCCTCATCTGACAGTCAGTAAGGAAAATGGGGACCTCAGTCCTACAACCACAGGTACTGAATTCTATCACCCAAATGAATACAGAAGCAGATTCTCCACTGGGCTTCCACTAGTAAGAAGTGCTTTCCTGCCAATGCCTTGATCTTGACTGAATGAGACCTGTGTCAGATTACTGACCTACATAACTGTGAGAAAATAAATCTGTGTTGCTTTAAGTTGCTAAGTTTGCAGTAAGTTGTCATAGAAGCAATGAAAAACTCATATTCTTCCTATTACTCCTATACTCCTGGCTTCTTTGAAACTATTCCTACTAACCAAGTCTGAGTTGATAAGTGCAATAGCTTTTTCAGTTCTTCCATGACCTGTTGCCCCTTCTGACCTTGCTATGTCTGCCTCTTTGGGGGAAGCCTCTCTTCCCCTGATTTCTATAATACCATCCATGATTCTCTTCCTTTTCTCTGCTTTCTTCATAGGTACTTTCTCTAATCTTATGTATTAGACTGTTAAGTGTTTCTTAGAGGTCTGTTCCCAAGTTCTCTTGCAACATTATAAATACTTGGCTTCTACTTATAAAAGCTAAGGAGTGCCAAACCTTATTAATAGCATAAAGGTCACGTTTTAGTTTCAAATCATTATCTATCTTCAGTGATTTACCAAAGACTCTAGTAATGTGAACTTGTTCTTTCCTCTCTAAAACCTGCTTCTCTATCTTCTTAATTCTCTACTACTGCTTACTCCATCTCTAGTCAACCAAATCAGCTATAGTACTATGCACTTTCTCACTGATCCCTTATGTCGCTGGTAACTAAATCTACCTGGGTATTTTTAGAATGTCTCTATCCCAATCTCATATTAATTAAAGAACATTAATCTCAGCATTAATTAAAGAACCTATCCTTTCTGCAGAGGATTGATAAATTGCCACTTTGCCTCTTACTTGCACTCTTGCCAGTCTCCACATCTATTCTTTGCCTTCTCACTACCATGATCTTTCTATAAAAACAAGTCTTAATTTACTACATGTCTATAAAAATGTTTAATAGTTCTCTGTAGTTCCTAAGACTCATTTCCTTCACTCTCAACACTCACATATATAACACGGTTATGCTTCCATATATGCTATTTCTTGTAACTGAGATGACTTTGTGCTGTTACTCAGTTTTAGTAAGTGACAGAGGACTCAGAAAATACTGATATGCCTCAGGAGTGGTGTTTGAAAATAACCTTTGGTTTTCTGAGACAGAGTATCACTTGGTCTCTCTAGGTATAGTGCAGTACTTCAGCATAGGTCACTATTACCCCCAACTGCAGGGTTTAAGGCATCCTCCTGTTTTAGCTTCCCCAGTAGCCGGGACAATAGATGCCTGCCACAATGCCCAGCTCATTTTTCTACTTTTAGTGGAGATGGTCTTGCTCTTGCTCAGGCTGTTCTCAAATTCCTAAGCTTAAGCAATCCTCCCGCCTCAGCTTCCCATGAAAACCACATTTAAGTTTTAGTCACCATGTGGCTTCAGGAACTCAACTGTAGAGTGATATAATAGAAAGCATACTGAACTTGGCATCATCACACCAAATGTCTACTTCTATTATTAAAAAAGCAAGTGATTAAAACATCTCTGGGCCTGTTTTCTCACTTGTGAAGTGAATTACATTATCTCTAGGTCCATGAAAGTTGAAAATTCTAGTTTCTAATTAAGAACACTACAAATTACTCAGTACTAAAAATGAGTAGTCAAGGTAATTTACAGCATTATTCAATTTCTATAAACAGATCCTATAACACATCATTTACACACAATAATTAACCTTGTCAACGTAAACTAAAAATAAAATCTTAAGATCCCAACCAACTGAATGGACTCCCTCTTAGCTAAGGGACCCCAGAGACACCTTAAAAACTGAGTTTCAGTAACCAGGGTTAGGAGATCTGACAAAACCTCATTATACCCCCTCCTTTTTGCAATTTAGATACAAATGACCAACCATAATGTTAAAGTATATCATAAGACTAACAGAATGGACTCTTTGTAATAGTAAAATATCAAATTATAAACAAGATCTAAGGCCATACCAGGCCAGAGTTAAGTCACCCACCCCTACAAAGAAAAAATACATTAGGTTCTAACTGTCTGGGGAAGGTCTTATGATTCATACCTTACATCTACCTGTCCTTGAGTAAAGAATCTTAAGTCCCTCAAACTGTACAGATTTCTATTTTTGTACTGATTAATAATACATAACCTACTCAGATTTAGAAGCACAGATCTATTTCTGAATTAACAAGTTTTATTGATTGTCCTGCACATAAAACATTTTAGCCTGTATGTTGTCTTCTGTAGG